CAGCCTCTCACCTGACTCCACCGCCCCGGCCCCTCGGACACCCGGACACCGGGCCTTCCTGGGCTCAGCAGCCTCACCCCAGCCAGCTTCTCTGTCCACAGCCGGGGCGGGAAGAAGCCTGCCGGCCTCCAGGGACACACAGCCGCTTGTCCTCCAAACTGACTTGCTCAGGAACCCTCCCCTCGCTAAGCAGGCCTCTCGCTCTCAGCTGTCCCCGCACACGCTTCCCGGTCCCTGAGAGAGAACAAGGGGCTCCCTTCCTCCGCGGTGATTCCCCAGGAATCCCTGGAGGAGGGGGGGGGGGCCTGTGGCCGGCGCAGAGCTTCCCTGAGGGACCCGCAATGGGCAGTGCGGCTGGGGGTGGGGGCCTGGGGGGGCTGGGCTGCACCGGGGCCAGTGGCTGGCCCATCACTGGTGAGGGACAGTCCCCCAGAGGTGCTGATGGACAGGCCCTGTGGGCGAGTGTGGCCTCGGCTGAGCCAGGTACCCTCGTGGAGCCTCCGTTTCTCTCACCTGCGAATGGGGACAATGACAGCGCCTCGGGCGGGCGGTGAGGGGAAATGACAGATCCGCCCTTTCACGCCCTTTCTCACCACGGGGCCCAGCGCCCTGAGGAAAGGCACAGCCTACCCCCAGCCACCCCAGAGCTGAGGGGTCCCCTTCTCAGTGCCTGCACCCCAATCCCGGGCAGCAGGATGCGGAGGGGCAGCCAGCTGGAGGCACCGGCAGGGTCTGGCAGAGGCGAAGCCCCGCCCAGTGCCGGGCTCTGTCCACTCAGGGGGGCCCAGGAGGGACAGGCGTCCTCACCGGCTCCCTCGGTCTGGAGCAGCTAGCGGGTCAGCGGGGCTTGCCTTGGGCCCTGGGTCTAGCTGGTCGGACCAGCGGGCTCCTTCCCCACGGGGCACAGCTCCCCTGGCCGCCCCCCCCTCCCCGCAGCCCACCCACTAGGGTCCTCCCCACCTAATTAGCAGGCCAGTCCCGCCCGGGAGAGCTGAATGGTCCCTTCTGCTGGGGCCTCACAGTGTCCCTTTGTAGCCAGCATAAAAGCCCGCCCGGCAGAGCTGGGTCCTCAGCTGTTTACTCGCGGCAGTTCTGACTCCGGCCTCAGAGCCCACCTTCAAAGCCGCCATCAGAGCCCAGGGGAGTGTGGGCCTGCGTTTTCCTGGGAAAAGTGGCTGGAAAAGGGCGGGGCCGGGCCGCAGACAGGCCGGGCTGGCTGCCCACAGGGGGTGTGCCCGCAGGGGGTGTGCCCACCAAACCGCCTGCCCTGGAGGTGGGAGGGCAGCCAGCCAGCTGGGCCAGAGGGAGCCTGCTGACCAATGGGCCGGGCTCCTGCAGCCCAGCACTGCCCACACCCCAGTGCTCCCCAAGGACCCAGCGCTCCCCAGCCTGAGACAGAGCAGCTACAGAAGGCTCCCCAGGGCTGCTCCGCCAGACCCGGCCAAGGCCCTTCCCACCGCCAGAGCCCAGGCTGTGCCAAAGGGCAAGCTAGCTGGTGCTCTCTGGAGAGGGCGACCCCCGGGTGGGCTGGTGCTGGGGCACAGGCAGGGCACGGGCCGGGGGGGGGGGTGAGACCACCTCCCCGCTCTGGAACCGGCTGGGGGCCTGCTTACCACCCCAGCGACCACTCGGGCTGGAAGCCTCCGGTCACTGCTGTTGCCTCCACCCCACAGACCGGGCTGTCTGGGCAGCAGGCTCCGTGGGCCAACCTCAGCTCCCACCTGGAGACAGAGCGCTCTGTCTGCCCTGCGGGGCCTGGGTCTTTGGGCTGCGGGCGGGTTCGGGGCTGTGGGAGCGGCCGTGGGCGTTTGCTTTGACATTTTCCAATTTCCTACAAGGAGCACATTTAAGAGTTGTTTATTATCACCAACACCATCATCATCTTGTACAAAACACATTCCCAGGCGGCGCAGTGCCAGGCCTGGGCGGGCCGCCTGGACCCTGCACCTCCTGCACCGACAGCTGCATGGAGCCCCTGCCCTGGCACACGCGCTGCCGGCTCTGGGTCCCGGAGCAAAGCTTTGCGGACAGCGCCCCCTGCCGTCCCAAAGCGCTGGGCTCTGCGCCTGCCAGGGGTTCTGGCGCAGGTTTGGCTGGGTTACCCCTGGTGCTGGATCTCAGGGGTGAGGGACAACTGGCCACAGCCCTGCCATTCACCCAGAGCCCAGAGCCCCCTCCACAGAAATGGGGCCTCCCAGTTGTGAGGAACTGATTTTAGGGGAAACTGAGTCACAAGAGGATCTGAAAACCCGAGTGGGGAATGGGAACCTCACCGATGGCGGCTTTCCCGCTGTCTCTCTGGGAAGCCTCCTGGGGCCCTGGGCCGCTCCTCTAAGGGCTCCCGGGTGCTGAGCCCCCGGAGCCCCGTGCTCCCTGCCTGGAGCCAGGCTCACCGGAGTCAGACAGAGACACCCCACCTCCAGAGACGAAATCAGCCGCGGGGGCCACTCTTTAAGAGACAGTGGCCGGCGTGGCTCAGTGGTTGAGAAACGACCTATGAAGCAGGAGGTCAGGGTTCCAGTCCCGGTCAGGTCACATGCCCGGGTTGTGGGCTCCATGCAGGAAGGGGGGCGTGCAGGAGGCAGCTGATCAGTGATTCTCTCTCATCATTGAGGTTTCTGTCTCCCTCTCCCTTCCTCTCTGAAATCAATAATTTAAATATTGAATCAATAATTCCAGCATTTTAAAATAAATTTTTAAGGTGGTAGAGGAGATTGGGGGCTCCCTTTCCATCTCAGGGAGGAAGGTCTTCCCCACCCGCCTTGGGAAAGGCCACCAAGACCAGGAGCCACCAGGGCCGCCACTGCATTTACGCGGGAGCCGGAGCTGGGGTCCCACCGAGCAGGCGGCCTTGCCCAGCTCAGCCTTGTCCCCACCTCTGCTCTGCGCCCCAGTATCGTGATGCAAATCATAAAGCCCAGCTGTTTCGTTAACGATTTGAGGGACTGGACCGTGCATAGGGGGTTGTGGGGGAGAAATCTTATTTGCAAGTTAATCAAAAGAAAGGCTGGGAGCTAGTAAAACTCCCTCCCGAGCCATTACACCTGCCTCCAACGGCAAAGCACTGAAATACATTGTAGAGTCCCCCCTGAACCAACTAAGCGGCTCTTATGTGTGTAGACATCATTCATGTGAACGGCTCCTGGTGGTGTCGTCAAGAATCCAGCCCCCAAGTTAGAACCGAACTGGAATGCTTTACACACCCGAGCTTCTCAGCCAAGGTCAAGACAAAGGAGCAGCCCCCCGGCCCCACCCCTGGGCTGCCTCCGGCCTCCCCCACCCCCCCAAGCCTTGTCCAGCCCCCTGGGGCCCAGGGCCCCACCACTTTCTAGTTCACCGACCGGCTGCCTCCCGCACGCCTCTTACTGGGGATCTAGCCCACAATCCGGGCCTGTGCCCTGACCGGGACCCAAACCCTAACCTCCTGGTTCATGGGATGATGCTCAACCACTGAGCCGTGCCAAACCGGCTCACTACTTACCATTTCAATGACCTACGGCAAGTTTCTCTCTCTCTGAGCCTCCGTTTCCTCATCTGTGAAATGGTAACTGACATACGTATCATGTGTCTTATAAAATGTCCAGCCCCTGCAGACATCCCACCAGAAACACCCACCAGACCCTCCTGCCACCACCGGCTCACACATGTAGCCAGGACTCCGTGCTGCCGAGGTGACTGAGGACCCAAGGGTGGCAGGGAGCAAGTTCCCGACAGAGCAGCCCACCTCGAGGACCGTCCACAGAAACACCCAACTGCGGCACAGACGCAAAGAACAGCGGCCGCAGCTTTATTCAAGAGCGAAAAGCTGGGCCTGGTCCCAATGTGCCCCCACACGCAGTCACAGCACCCCTGCGGGCGCACCCTCAGGAGGCCGCCGCAGCAGGTCCGCACAGAAAAGGCGATGGCCGCGAGGGGAGGGGGGTCACGAGAGACGCTTTTCAGTGTCTGTTCTTGCAGAGACCACAGAAACGGAACTGCTTAGAGAACAGGAAGTGACAGCAAGCAGAGCACATTCCCAAAGAACCGAGTCAGGTGGTCACACACTGCACGCTGCCAACAGCACGCTGACCACAAAACGGACATTTTAAATATAAGCTTTATTTTAAATTTAAAGAAAAACTGAAAGAGTATTTTTTACAAATTATACCAACACTGAAAATGTAATTTGGGAATGTTGAATATTAATTCTCAATTCAAAATAATGACACGTTTTGGTGTTGGCTAATGTAAAGTTTATTTAAACGTAGTACTTTATATAAACCTAACCATTTCATCCTTCCTGAAATTCAGTGATTATGATTCAACTTTACAAGGTTAAAGCAGTCTTCTATGTAAAACCCCATATAACTTTTTGAAATACAATACATTTACACCAGCGAGGAAATAAAAACCTGTAAAAACCACACAGGACTTGCCGAAAAGGCTGCCTTACATACGGAGGGAGCATTTCGCCTCAGCACACACACGTGATCAAACAGACGCCCGCACGTTCTCTTACACAGCCACCTGCGTGATTATAAATGCCGCTCTAGCACGTATGAACTGAAAAGAACATATTTAAAAAGGTCCTTGAAGACACAGGGGAGTGGAATGAGCCCGCGCTGAGAGCAGCAACGCAGGGGCTGTTAGGAGGATGTGGCCGAGCTGCCAGCCCAGCTGGCCCCGCCCCCAGGGAAACAGGTCCCCCCGCCCCCAGGGAAGCAGGCCCCTCAGAAAGACAGGATGGTCTTGTTGATGATCTCCACGGCCTCCTGGACCTCGTCCTCCTTGATGACGCGAACATGATGATGCCTCCGTGGGTGGCCTTGGCCGGAAGTCCATTATCTCGAAGGAGCAGGAACACCTTCCAAGCATCGCAATCTAAGGAGAAAGACCCACAGCGGCTGGTCGCAGCGGAGAGACTTCAAGACTCGCTGCAGGTGCCTGCACAAGTCTGGGCCCGGACGGCTCCAGACCCCTCCAGGCGACTCGGCGACTGGACGCTCGGGCCTGCTCTTAGAAGAGCTACCTGTCGGCCAGCGCAGAACTAGGCTTGAGTGGCCAAACCAGACATATGGTTCTTGTTAGTTTTTCATGAAGAAAGAAAAAGAAAAAAAAACCCTGTGCGGGGACGGCTGTACTAACTACATGAGGAACCAGAACAGAAAGAACGAGGGTGAGATACCGACTAACGGGCACAGGATGAGCAGAGCCCCAAACCAGCGCCCACCACGCCCTAAAGGCTTGTGGGCGAGGCGCTCATCGTCTGAGGGCCTGGTATCAGCCCCGCCTCGCTCAGGCCTGGGACCCCGACCCGTCACCTCCGCCTGCGGGCCGGGCGAGGCTCTGACTGACATAAAGCCCCAGGTGGTTCTGAAAGGCAGGCGAGGCTGACAGCACCGCTTTAAAGGAAGCGTCATCACCAGGAAGCCCAGCCAGGAGCTCTGGGGCCACAGGCTTCACTCAGACAAACAGCAGTCGGGGCAGCGGCTGCTTCATCCTCGTCGCTCATGTCACTACCCGTCCCTGCAGCCTCTGCGGGGAGGTCACAGCGCACAGGAAAGGACGGCAAGAGGCAACGAGGCAAAGTGCGCGAAGAAGACCTAACAGAAAAGAGCGCCAATCTCCCAGCACCGCCCCACTGGCCGAAGGCAGGATAACCAGCGTCTTCAAGCACAAAAGCAGGTCAGGTGACGTCAGTGTGCCTTCGCGCGGGAAAGACCTGTATTTCTAGGTTACATGAATCAGGTGACCCTCAGCCTAAAAGAGCCGGGCACCCGGCGGCCAGGCAGCCGTCTCCGAGGAACCCAGACGCCAGATAAAATGCCAGGCGTTGGCTCTTCCTGTGAAGACAGTGCCTTCAGCCCGGCCGCGTGCTCAGCGGCTAGAGCATCGGCCCTCACACCGAAGGGTCCTGGGTCTGACCTGGTCAAGGGCACGTACCTGGGCTGCAGCCAGGAGATGTCTCTCCCTCCCTTTCCCACCTCCTCCCACCTCCCTCCCACTCTACTACCCTCGGGTGAGGATTAATGAAAACTGAAAGGGAAGAGCGCCCGCCGAGCCAGTGCCGCCCTGCACGCCCACCTTTGGTTTCCCGGATGACGATGGCGTTGAGCAGCCCCTTCCCGCGCACGGCAGTCACGATGTCGGAGGGCAGCTTCATGAGCTCGTTCCGCAGGAGGGCGCCCATGCGGTCCGCATTCTCCGCGAGGTTCTCTTCTTCCAGAACCTGCGGGGAAATCCCCCCGTGGCGTCAGCCGCTCCGCGGAGGGCATGTGGGCACACGCAGGAGGCGGTAAAGGCTCGGACATTCCCCAGCCCAGTCCAGCTGCACCCTAACTGAGCATGTGCAGCAGACAGAACCGGCCTTAGTCACACATCCATCACCAACCTGATATTATGGCAAAATACGGGGTAAAATGTGTTGAATACAACTAACGTAGTTTCTTATTAGTTGAATAAACCAATGGACTAAACATAGTTTAGTTTTTTAACTGCAATAGAGTTTCTTTTTTTTTTCTCTAAAAAGTCCACCTTAGGGATTATATAATTTTATGTGATAAATCTGAGTGTCCAAATACACACTTAAAGCACCAGGCGCACGAAGCCAGAGGCCTGACAGGCTCCGGGAGGGCCCCCCAGTGCCCACAGGACACCGCCCGGGCACTGCGGGCGGCGATGCCCACGGGAGGCCGTCTCTGAGCCTGGCCCCGAAAGCTCCCCGCTCCCGGGCTGGGACACGCGTCATCTTACTACATTTCTCGTGACACCAACGGCTCACAGTCAGTCACCGCAACCCGACCCAAGGGATGGGCGTGCGGCTGCGTCAGGCTTTACCTCAAGGGCGGCGATGGCCACGCGGCTGCCCAGGGGGTTGCCCCCATACGTGGAGCCGTGCTCCCCGGGCTTGATGGTCAGCATGATCTCGTCGTCACACAGCACCGCCGACACCTGGGAGAGAGAATCAGTGCTGCCCAACCGTTCCCCACGCACACTCGGGGGCCTGCGCGCCGGGAACAGACATTCCCGAGCCCACAGGGAAGCGGACGTGAGCTTCAGCAACAGGACTGCCCGTCCGCCACCTTCACTGCGGGACAAGCCCACACGCCCTCGGCGCCACCCAGCACCTGTCACCCAGCACCTCGCACACGCCACCCGGCGCCTCGCACACGTACACGGCACAAAACAGCAGCATTGGGACCAAGACACCAGCTGCTTCTGCAGTGACTGAGTGAGATTCTTTCCACTCTGGGTGGGAGGGGGCCGCTCTCTCACTGCTTAGGAAGCAGCGCTCCCACCACCCTGCGCGCCCTTCGTGCCCTCCCACCCAGAGACTGCGGGCTGTGAGGGACAGACACCCAGGAGCAGGCCTCTCTCCTCCTCTCTACATGAAGCGGTCGTGGCGTTCAACAACCGGTAACGCTGTTTCTGACCATGAGGAGCATGGGGCCAGGGACGCTTCTGCAGCACCATGTCCATCCAAAGCCGACGCCGGAGCCAAGCCCAGGCCCCCCGGTTCTGCAGTAAAATTAACCGGGGGCCGCCCATGGAGCTGACCGGATTCTAGGGGACTGACGGCACCACGTGAACCCGACCACAGGGAGACAGCACCGTCGTCACCATCGGCTGCCGTCACGTCATCCGTGAGCCGAGGGAGCAGAGGGGTTCGCGAACTTACGGGGTACAGGCCACCGGAAAGGGCTTTGCCCAGGAGGACGAGGTCAGGCCTGACGTTTTCATGGTCGACCGCCAGCCATCGACCAGTCCTGGCCAGTCCCGTCTGGATCTCATCGGCAATAAACAGCACCTATCGGAAAACCACACACCGACGTTAATCATCAATTTCGTTTCCCTTTTCCCCACACAGAGGAGCTTGGTGACAATGCTGTCAGCAGCCATGCAATGTCCACAGTGTGCTACGAGCCTGGCCAGTGTGGCTCAGTGGGCTGGGCACTGTCCTGTGTGCGGAAAGGTTGCCGGTTCCATTCCCAGTCAGGACACAAGCCCAGAGGCCGGTCTGCTCGGTCCCACAGGCAGGAGAGGAACTAACACCAGGTAAGGCCTTTGCGGGGGGTTCTGAATAGATCTAATCTCTAGAAACAATTAATTCACTTGTTTATTCCACCAGCATTTATTAAACATCGACTTCCTATTAAATATTTACTAGCTTGGTGGGGAGAGGCGGAGAGAACGTGAATGCTGGCACAGAGGACAAAGGTTGGGAGGCATCGGGGGCAAGTGCTGGAAGGGGGAGGGCGGGGGTGGGGGGGTGGAC